ACTAAAACAGTGGATAGTGTTTTTCGCGCGATTTGATTGGCTACTCAATCAGTGAATATCTAGACTGCAGAACAGTCCGTATTTTTGCGTATTCAAGTACGCGAACAGTCAAACAAAAGGTCTGGAACGAAGCTGAAAACTAGTGAATATCCTGCACTGTTCACTGATTCACCTCCAGTTCCTCCGAGCGAGCGACGCCAAACTCGCGTAAGTTGCGAGCAAAATGCGCATGCCTTCTCGGTTTGCTGCCGTAACAAACTAAGAAATTTCACAACCAATCAATCAGGCTGTTCCCAAAATACATGAAGAAGGTAACGAAGTTCGGTTGGAAGTTCAAACAGGTAAAGCTTTGTCTTTTTGACTTGAATTTATTGATAAAACCGGTGAAAAAGTTTTTTGTTTACAAATGCAAATTACGCTTAAGTCTTGCGTTACCTTATTTAGTTGACTTATTCATAAATAAGCTTAAAACTAAATTTAATAATCTTTTTTACAGAATTATTTTAAATACTAAAAGAATTCACAACTCCTTTTGAAGAAACTTCCCCGTAAGAGCTAGACAAACGCCTTCAAAAGTTTTATTTTGTCGCCAGGAAAAAGCGACGACCGCGGCCGTTCGGTCATCGCGCGCCAAAATTTTAATCATTGGCAACAGTAAATGAGTTAAAAATCATCATTTTTGTGCTCAATTATCTCACTGTTTTAGTATATACTAAAACAATTATTCACCTCAGTGTCAGTGGCTAGTAAATACGCAGCCTCGGTAAATACTAGCCACTACGTGCCACCTCCTCTTCAGTGAATAATTGTTTTATAACTTTAGCTTCTACATAATTACGTAAATCGGACATCAGACTGTTCTAGACAAGAATTTCAGATTATTTTTCTAAGTGGGGTCGAGCAACGTGAACCTAGGAGGTTAGGGACACTTAACATTACGTTTCAGGAAAGTATAAAGTTTTGTACGGTAAACGAGTAGTTGATGAATAGCGAAATTGGTTGAGGATTTTCCCCCAAAAATGTTTTTACGTTTTTTTGTGTAAAATTGGCAGGATTGACCAGAATTTCCAAGCTAAGGTATCTGTGAAAAGGATCTATCCTTCCTGAATTCGCCGCTTATCCAGTAATCACTTAAAATATGGAGCTTAATAAATGGTTCAGAAATAAATAGTTTGCATCGTTCCAAATAGAAAGCGATTGACCAGATCCACTAGATCCGTCGCCAAGGGTTTAATAATGTGAAATTAAAGTTCGTAACAGTTTTGCTATAAAAACAGCAACCTTAATGATTTGCGAAAAAAGTTTAAACGATTAAAAAGTTTAAAAAGTTTAAACAATCGGACAATTGCACGATGACGTCATTTTACTACAACTACCAGAATCCTTGAGTTTGTTGTTTTCTTGTGCAAATTAAAGCTATTGTTCTTTAACCCTCAGCGGGATTGACAAATTTAAATAACAAAGCAGAACCGAAATGAATTCTGGTTGTTGTAGTCAAATATCGTCATCGTGCAATTGTCCTCTTTCGAGAAAAATGCTGTGGGCGTCTAGTGGTCTTTAAATACATTGTATTGCAGGCCATTTACAAGCTGAAACATTCCCGGAAGCTAATGCTAATAGGCCAATAACGGGTGGGAGTTGATTTCCCCGATACTTGCAGTCTCAAGAATCATGGAATATTTATCACATGTCCGCTTAGTATTTTTTTGCTGCTTTCTTCGCAGAGGCACTCGTGGCTTCGCCACGCGTGACGACGCCCTTAAAAACGTCCGAGCGAAAGGCTATATCCTTATGAGCTGCAACACAATAGGCCCCACCTCATGGCACCAACGACGACCCATCCAAAAGCTTGAGTGCTATGCACCAGTGCCACACACCTAGACTTTAAGGCGCCTAAGAAGGAGCTGTTGTATTGAACAGGTCTTCTTGCACATCAGTGCAAGCATCCAGGGAGAGACAAGACAAACTTAAAAGCAGGTGACACACGAACACCAACCCACCTCCTGGCCAGTTTGTCTTACTGGATTTACTGGCGCACAGATCGGCAAAAATGCTGGTCCGCCTTCCCAGCGCATGCCGTGGGAAAACTGCCCAGCCAACAGCTCCCATACGTGTTGTGTTGAGCTGACGCTTAAAGGAGTACTTTATACTTGCCTGGAAAGGAAAGGGTCGTTGAACACGTGAGCCCTAATAAGGGTGAACAGCTTTTCATGGCTGCCACGACCTTAGTGATACGGCTGTGCGTATGCGTTAGGTACTCAGGCCAGGCCGTGGGTTGGTATACGGCACACGTGTGCAACTTGTCTCAGTGAGAGTCAAGCCCGAACAAAAAACATATTTTCCACTCGAACTGACCTATCTTGTCGGAAAGGTCTTAAGACTGGAGTGATGTACACTTCCTGCAAGTCATGACTGTGGGAGACAACATGAACAAAGCCTATAAATTGTAAAGTAAAGTTGTTGACCCACAGTTTCTCGCACAGATTGTTTTGAAAGATGTGTTAAAGAAAATCTGTACCTCCTCGATTTACTGATTGCTGCAGTTATCACCCTAAGAGGACAAAAACATAACGGTCGTGACAACCATAAAGAGAGTCCTACAGGGATCAAAGCTGCAGCCATTGACTGTCGCAGTCAAGTGGCCAAATTTTCTTGGCTTCACTTTTCTTGTGATAGTACAGTTTTGATGAGCTCCACAGTGTAGTTTGCACAATGCTCCATCAGGACATGTAAGGTTACAGCCTCCACCCGTGCAATTAAGCTGGCATTGCATTCCATTGCATTCCATGATGCAATTACCGGCATCACATTGCTGCAGACACGATCGAGAGTCACAAACTCCATGACAGCCTCCTTTAGAGCATTGCTATGAAATCAAGTTTAAGACATTTCCGACATTAGCGAAAAGCGTTAGACAATTTAGCTATGAGAATTAAATCCAAATTCGCAAGTAGTAAAATGTCTAAAATAGACCTAAAGTCAAAATTAAATCAGAATGAGAGCATTCTGATTCCAGATTTCTGGCGATTCCCAGCTCTTATTGCAAAATGAAAGCCTGCCTCTTTCCCGTTTTTTTTCGCTCTTAATATTCAAGCTTTCTCTCTCTTTCAGCTCTATTTAGACCCTGGATACGGGACTGCGGTCGGAATCTCTTCGCTCGCTCAAACAGCAGAAGCAGCGAGGGATGATCCCGTTGATGTTAAAATAAAGATCACTAATCGATCTAAATATTCCATTTCTCCGCCCAACCTCATTCACTCCCCTCCCAAGGAACGAGGTTGCTAAGGTTGCTCTTCGTTCAAATCGTAGGATATGTATCTTTATCTGGTGGAAATAAAGACCATTATTATGATAATTATTATTTAGTACCTGTACGCAACGCTCCCTGGCTTTGCAGGTCATGTTACAGTTTGCACCCTTGTCACAGCGTTGTACGCAGGAATTGGAGCTGCAGGACTGATGACATTTTCCGTCGATGGAGCACGACTGCTCACATCTCTCACCTGTTGTGCAATGTTGAGGGCATCGCCCTCTGCATTTTTGATAACATCTAAATTCTGATGTACAGTTTTGATGGCAGCCTCCACCGTTGCAGTACTGGTAGCCCTGTTCTTTTGCGCGGATTAACATCTTCTCGGCCCCGTCCATCTATGAATAACATACAGAAAATATAGGTCGCTTCAGTGAAACATTTTCGGGAGCAACGGATTGGACCGTTTGATAAGGCAATCCTGTTTTCCTGAGCGGAATTTTCCAACGGAAATTCGTGTTGCATTTCTTCGATCGATCAAAGCCATCTTTGACACCAGGTTCAGGCTTCAGGGGCCTTTTTTCGGAAAATGAAACTGATTTGTACAAATTGAAAGGGGATTCCGGAGTGAAATTTACCAGTCCTGAATTTTTCTTACCATTTACCCAAACCGTCAACCAACCAGTTTGTCCATGTAAATAGTAATCAACCATCCTCAATCTAGGAGTAATAATTAATCCCGGGGGGTACTGAACAAATTTTTATACGGGGAGGCTCCGCCCCGAGGTCCAACCCCTTACCCTTCTATACACCTATTTCAATTTAGGTTGCTTCTGAGAAGAATGATGCACGATCCATGTTTCATAGCCCGCGGTGCATTATTGTAGCAGGTATAGTCAATTATGTGCCTACAACGAGCCTAGAAACCTAGAAAGCAAACGCTCCTAACGCTTCTATGCGATGTCAGCAGAACGTTAAGACAATGTATTTCAAAACACTGAATCGCTTTTTGATTTAAGACGGTGATTTGCGGTTAGGTTTTTCTCTGTAGTGATATGCAAATGCTACAAATTTTCAAAGAGTTTGTTTGACTCGTGCACTTGGGAATTTTGGATGGAGTTGAAAAAAATCTAATTCAAGGCGTTTGTCGAACAGCAATAAATAACTAACATTACGTGTTTATCTACTTTTGAGGCAATTATTTTAAAACAGAGTTAAAAAGAAGAATAGCATGGATTTGCTTTATTAAAATAACCAGCATTTTAGGCTGACCCATGCAAAAACGCAGCAAAACCCTATTCAATTAATGTTGTTAAAAGAAGAGGCTTCTAATTTTTTACCATGAGATCTTAAAAGTGAAATTTTTCAGCTCACTTAAGAATTTTAGCAGCCATTTGAATTGAAAGCTGTCTTGAACACCTTCTCACAAATCGTCTCCATTATTTCAAGGAACGTGAACAAGACTAAGCTTCCGCTACAAAAGTTTCCCATAGTGTACTGCAGGCTATGAAACATGGTTCGCGGGAGCAACCTTAATTGAAATAGGTGTATACCATTTCACGAAAACGGTACCCCTTTCGTATACCTTCTATTGACAAATGGTATCCCTTTCACATACCTTAAGTTGTCGAGAACTGTGCATCCATTTTAAATGCTGTAAATGCACTGTCGTTTAAATAAGAATCAATCACAAAAATAGAACGTTTTCTCGACATTAAAAGCCATAAAATTCATCTGTTAACCCTTTGGGCCCTTTCACAGAACCGCATGACAGATTTCCCTGCCCTTTCGTATACCTCAACGAGTAAAGTCCCTACCCTTTTATATACCTGAAGTCTGAAAAAGATACCCCTTTCGGGCGGAGCCTCACCGTATAAGTCATTATAAGGAGTACCCTCCCCCCCCGGGTAGTGGATATTCTGTTTCTGGTGAGAAGGTCTTCCACCCTTAAGGTTGAGTTGTAAAGGAAGTGTAAAGCTCACCTGTTCGCATGATTTTTCTTTACTATGACATTCAACCAATGGACAGATTCTGCGCAGCGATGAACACCGCTGCTCACAACTGTTCTTGGTTCTGCATTTCATTCTGCACTTTCCGCCTGTACAGGACTGAATGCAATCGTCTGTGGTACATGTCATTGGACATTCGCCGTATTCACAGTTTTGATCACATGAACGCTTAGCACTGCAGAATGTTGGGCAGCTGCCTTCCCAGCATGACTATAACGTTGGGTAAACAATATAGGGTCATTGCAGTATAACTAGAGGAAGGAGTTGGGGGAGTTGGTAGGTTACAGTAAGGAGGCAGGGGACTAGATTTCTTGAGCACATTTTCTCTTTCTGTATCTGCTCTCCGGTCACAGGTTAGATGATAGTTTCTCGCAAAGTAGGAGGGAAAGAGGAGAGATGAAGGGAAAGGAGGAGAAAGAAGTAATTAGTAGGATCGAAGATGAGGTAGGAGAAAAGGGATGTTTTTTGATGTTGCGGAAACCATTGCTGGTTTGCTTTTGCGTTGTGGTGTAGGTACTGCTCAGTGTCTTTTCAATATTGTGTATACGTTAATTGGTGATTAAGCTCGTTTGCAACACCAAGAGACCACCGAGAAAACGGATTAGGGAACGTCCTTGTCCTTCCCGTCTCAGTGCTCCTGTCACAGGTCAGATAATGGTCTCCTGGCTGGTATAAATGGCAAAAGTAGGAGAACGGGAAAAAAGTACACTTCCCCTCTCTGCCTCTACTTTTGCCAACATAAGCAAACACTCATTAGAAACACTCCTCAGCTTGGTCGATATGGAAGTGCGCATGCGTAAGATACTTGTCCGACCGCCGCTTAAACCTTGGCTTGGTGTTCGAGTGTGTCACCTGCTATAATTTTTGTCTAATCCAAATCAATGTCTTAGGGCCCTTTGTGTGTTCTGTCCCGTTGATGAAATAACCACTTCACGGTTTCCGTTCCTCAACACATGCTGTGCACAAGTCTGAGTAAAACGTGACTTTATTATCCAGAGCCTGACGTTTCTTTTGAGAAAACAGCTTATTTTGTGACTCCTAGGAGTCAATGCCAGTTGTGAGTCAAGTTATTAGGTAAGCTGGGGTTATGGTTTGAGGTTAGGGTTACTGGGTAAGGTTAGGACCAGGTTAGGACTGGGTAACTAAAGACTCATTGACTAATTTACACCTCATGTCTTGTTTCTTTTGATCACGTGGTCAACAAAGCGACGTTTTAGCAAAAACCCAATAGCCCTGGCGAAAAAAAATGAGGCGTCGTCTTTTTTTTTGAAAGACACATTTTCTCACTATTTTATACTAAAGTGCTCCCATACTCACCTGTTTGCATCTCTCACTAGTTTTGGCACATTTAAGGTGACACGATCCTGCATTACACTGCTGTTTACAGTGAGAAGTCGCTCTGCAACTCATGTTGCACATTCCTTCATCGCAGCGTTGAGTGCAGCTGGCTGTTTTGCAAAATACTGATCCACAAGTTAGCAGCGATTCACAGTCCTGGTGACAGGTCTCCTTGGTAACGCATTTCAAATCGCACGATCCATGATCTAGGCATTTTTGTTCACATGACTTAAGTTGAGGATCAGCTTGTCCGCACGACACTTTGCAGTCTTCATAGCACTCTTGTCTACAAGAGGCCTTCGGTGATGAATCTTGACATTTATAGACCGTAATTCTTGCCTTTATTAACGTCACCATACTAAGAAATAATAATACATTTAGCAGCAACTCTTGAAACCGTGTCATATTTTCAGGTGTCTATCTAGAAAAAGAAAAATATATAATATATTTTAATTTATGGTGAATTCTAATAAGGCCACTACTGAGGAATAGAAACTTCACAGAAACAACTCCTGCCTGCACTCATGTGTCACAAGTCTGTTCAGTGAACATAATTTTGCTTTAAAAAAAAGGAACAGCAGTTTTTGGTAGGAAAAGTGTGACCAGTTGTTGTAACAAATATAAATTGAATTCTTATTGACATTTTGAAGACAACCTTTAATAATTGAACATAATTGCCAACGAGCAGCCTCGACGCGACAAAACGCGAGGCTGCGAGGCGGCAGCCTGAAAAACCGTGGGCGAAAGTTCCTAGGAGAATGCATGATGACATCATGCCGATGGCGTCTTTAGCAGTTGTTTGTGGCTTGTTGCTAGGCAACTGCGGATGCCAAACCGATAGAATGATTTATGACCAAAGCGAAATCACACTCCGCTTGCGATCCTCGCGCGATCCGCCCCGCGCGACAAAATTATAAACTCGCTCGGCTCGCGCGAGCCCCCCAGCCCTGTGCAGTTTTAAAATAATTAAATGAAAATGAATTAAATAAAATAATTTTATTCGATTCCTATTTTTTCACGAGTTGAGCTAGTTCATATTTTAAGGACGCTATATACAATTCACTTTAACCCTGACCCTGTAGAAAACCAATTCGGTAGTCTAATCGAAATATCAGCCTTAAGAAACTTTTTTTATCTTCATTTCCGTTGGCGGGTCTCTGTGTCTTATGTCCTTTTCTTTTCGTACTAAAGCGATGTTTAGTACCGTGAGCATCCCAAGGGTCTTGAAGAAAATCTGACCGAAAACAGGACCACAAAAAATTCATCATATCATTGTCTGGCACACTGCGATTTAAAAATCGTCTTTTTTGTTTGGCTTGTTAACTGAAAAAGCAGGGCGCTATGCTAATTTTTACGAACGTGATCAACTAAAATGATTATAGATAAAATAAGTCAATTACGATAATAATAGAAAATGGTCGGGGTTTGGCATATTGTTTTTCTCTTATTCCCATGAATATCTTAAAATTAGCCGAATTACTTCTCTCATAAATACGAGTTTAAGCTGTTTTGTAGAGAGAAAATGAGATCCACTATAACGTGGCATTGTGCGTTTTTGTCGCCTATTTTCGACCTTTTTATTTATATGTCATTCACAGAGTAATAAAATTTTGTCGAAGGTATATATAGCAGGTGTTTTGTGTTTGAATACTCTTAATAAGCTATCACCTGCATACATGCTTTTGGCTTTTCAAGGGGAGAAGTGCTTGAGAGGGAGGGAGAGAGAGAGAGAAGAAAAAAGAAAGAGGAACGAGAGTTTGGAGTGCATTTGCAATACTAAAATATTATCTGAAAAGCCAAGTCTATGTTCCAGTTAAAGTAACGTGTAACGTGTTTTTCAGGGTGTTATATTTCTACTGGCTGAGATTATTGAGAAAACTCAATTTGTGAACACGACCCTCATCCGGCATTTGTTTCCATCACATTCTATTCTGAACCTCAAAAGTGGCACCGCTCTTCTCAAAAAAAATAAATAAATAAAAAAGGAAAGAAAAGAAGAAAAGAAATGGAACGAAAAGAAAAATACGTACTTGTCAAGTGAAAGGGAATCTCATTTTGGACACGAAAATATACAATAAATCACTTCGTTTGGATGAATCCTTTGACCCGAAATTTTATTAGTGTGGTATTTTTCGCTTCTTCTGAAACCGTGAAGAATCTGTGAAGAACAGGACAACTTAAGGTGGCTCCCTAGAGTATTTACTAATAACGCTAGCTATCTAGCATACGTTAAAGAACGAAATCTAGTTACTTTGTCTTTGCGATTTTGTTCACGAGATTCACCGCTAAGGTTACCCAGATAAGAAGGCTCCTTTAGAAAGTTTCATTTTCTGGATTAAGGCCGTTGCCATGGCAACATCGCATCCTTGGACAGGCAGTAATTTTGTCAATTTTGATCATTTTTTCTTAATATTTCTTATTTCCCTCGGCGAAATGTCTTTAAACTTTGCCAGTTTATATTAACGATATTGCTTAACATTTTAAAGTGGAAAAAATATGGGGTCGTTAAGACGGTTTTGCCAATATTTTGAAATTTGTAATTTTTCTTAATAGAGGAATTTGGCTCTTACAGATTTTAACAAAAAAAGGACAGTACAAAGGTACTGCAACTGTTAAGAAATGAGACGATTTTTAAAAAAATTTACCGAAGGAAACGCGAGAAATTCACGGTTAATTAACTACGTTTACGTCACAAAAATCCAAAAAACACGCGTGGTTCGGGGTCGTATGAGGAAAGTACGCGCGCGAGCCATCACGCCCGCATGCGCATAATGCACAAAGCTACTGAAAACATGTGGTTTCTTTGAAGAGTACGAACGCCATTGTTTTGAAGCCGTTTATTAGTATTATTACGGTGATGTCTCGCCAGTTGAAAAAGGAGAGATAGCGGATTCAATTTTGTACCTGACACAAGATGTTTTCTTCAAAGTACTTGACTATTGTAGCTAAAATTCGAACCGTGGTGGTCACTCGTGAGGATGGCGATCGTCGGAGATGAAGACGGTGGTTGTGCAAGGATCGCAATAAGCCCTTCATTTCCTAATCTGCTGTACACTGTTTGCAGATCTTCAAATGTCAGCCCACTTCCGGACACTTTTTCAACCTTGTTCTTATTTAGAGATAATTTCGACGGCGAAGTTTTTCTTTAAAAGTCTGCTGTAAAAGATGGCGCCGATCTATAAATCGTACCGGTGCATCATGTCCTCAGCTACACGTACAAGACCGTAGGTCTCGACGGACAACTATTGCCTTCGTCAAAGGTCAATCTGTGAAGAAAAATTATTTCTCGTTGTGCAAAAACATTTTCCAGTGCATCTTGCATGTGCGTTGAAGGACGTTTGAAACAAGAAAAAATACAAGGATGTTGGTTCGTCGATGGAAAGGTTCCTTCGATTAGGATGCAAGTTAAGTGGGAAACCTTTTTTCTGATAAGTTTTTTTAAACAATGTGATAGAGTCGGCAAACCAAAAAAAAATTTACACTCCCTGTAATCTTGTCTTAAAGCCACCTCTAGAATTACTTAAATCAAATCAAATGTCAGAGAAATAAAGTGACCAAGGAGCTCTGCCAGTGAAGACAATCTTCATTGTTTGTTCGGGAATTGGCTCGATCTTTCAGATCTTTCCACTGACCGTGAACCAAAGGCCAGAAAGAGCAACATTGCTTCCTTCTGGGTTAGTGTACTTACTTCTTTGTTTTCTAAGTAAAGTTTCCACTCACCATTTACTTCGACTATTTAATGTTTGTCTATACTTTTGAAGCGAAAGAATTGATGTCTTTGGAAAATTTCTGCTTTGTTTTTACATACAATTTACTCTTATGGAGATCGATAGCGACTTTTAACCGGTGTAACATCGTCTCCTCTCATAAATTTTTGACCTACACTAATCAAACTTTTTGCACAATGAGCTTCAATAGAAATTTAATAAAGTTTTTTGGGTGGAATACTTCGAAACTGAGAGGCCATGTTTGTGATAATTTTTACGTGGACGTCGCGCGGATTTTAAATTTCGTGCCATACTAGTGCTAAGGCTGCGCACGGCCAATTTACTCTAGGGAGCCACCTTAATTACCCTTAAATCTCTCATTGAGCGGACTAAAAAAGGCTTGTACACAATTACCTACATTACGGCATCCATAGACTTTTAACAGTCAACTCTCATTATAGTGGAAACACCCGAGACTTGCAGAAATCGAGTCAGTGGAAACACTAACGTCTAACGCGAATTTTTTAAAATAGCGCGGGCCTGCATCCCCGCCAAATCTATGTTGGCCCTCTATACACGGAGAACTGACGTTATTTAAGGAACCCTCAAGAGCAATTGAAAGCTTACAGAGTCCTTAAAAGCGAGTGGCCAAACCGTGAGCACGAGTTTGTTTGGCACACGTTCGTTAATTGGAGGCCATAAGGCTCTGGGAGTCCGATTAAGCGGGGAGGAAGATGGCTTCAAGGTGTCAAAGTCACAATCAGTTTTTCCGCTTCATGTGATTTATACAATCGAGCACATGCTCTCTGTAAAGTACAATCATAAAAAGTAAATAACAAAGTGTCAACCTTAGTTTTGAGGCATGAGTTCTTCAGTCTCTCTTGAAGTGCAGCGCAGCCAGAGAATTGCACAACAGATGAGCGTATAATCAGCACATCAGTAAAAATATATCTTTTTTGGCCGAATCTCGTGGAAAAAGATGCGCTTCGGGTCTTATAAAAAGATACCATGTTACCTTAGTTTTAAGTAACCAAAAGTCCGATTACTTTTCTTGGCTGACGCTTAAGTTACTGACTTGAGTGCTTGTCTCGCGATCTCATCGGAGGAATAACTTTAATACAGCGCGAGAGAGTATCAAAAGTACATAAAGGATTGAAAAACCAAGAAAGTATTGCAAAACTCTCGCATCAGAGTGTTCACTAGACGGGTTTCATGTCAGTTCATAGATTCAAAAGTTAGATGTCCTAATAAGATATCTGTGTCATCCACTATCGGCCGATGAAAGAGTACAACAATAATATCGAGTAACTGAGTTTACAGAATTATAATCTCTCTTAGAATCAGTTTCAGTTGTTCTTTTTATCAGCGTAAAAAAAGAAAAGAGAAAAAAAACTGCCATGCCGGCGCAAAAATTTTGCTTACCGTTACAAGCGTGGCAATTGCCTTACGAACAACTGGCGTGCCTTATGGCTAAAATTTCCGACCATTTTAGATCGCCCTTACATGCCATAGAGATTTGCATGATTCCTAGTTCAGCCTGGTAACGGTCTTCAATTTCACAACCAACTGCCGCGAATAGGAGGATTTTTAAATCTGAAAGACTGTGTTTTTCAGTCACTCCTGTTTTCTTGCAACTGCGTAGTTTTTAAAATTATGCGTGTAATCCAACATCACAACGGCAAGTTTTGTTGTTTCGCT